GTAACTCTTTCTAGGTCCAACTATATCTTGAGTAGAATTGGTCTACATAACAAGAGTGATGTTTTGCAGTCAAGAGGACTTTTATATAAATGATAAAAATAATAATGAATGTGAGTGACTGAGGTCCCAATAACCATTGTCAGTAGAACCTTTACATGTAAGATTGAAAAGCTACAAATATTAATTTTAAAACTGTGAAAAATCTACAAGTATTATAAATGTTTAATATTGTTGAACTTGTAATTAAGTTCATTTTTACTTTAAAATAGTTTTAAATAGTTCAATTTAAAAAATATTTCTGTATTAAAACTATGTATGCTGTGTTTTTCAAAATGCATAATAATATAACCATCACTATTTCCTCAGAATCTCATTCCTTACTATGACCAATAAAGTAAAACTTTTTTAATTTCATAAATTCAATAGAATAGGATTGTACTAGGATCCAATAATAAGGTGGGTACTTAAAAAACAAATTTTATATTCAGAAATGTATTTTTAAAAGAGCAGAAAATGTTGGATAACTTCACTGGGACTATAGTTGTATTTATGCCTATTTAAGTAAAGAAAGCACATTCATGCACATCACAAATGTCAACATAGGGTATTTAACATATATTAATACACTATTCACTTCATGTTAGACTTGCCTTTTTTCCCATTGTTAGGTGGATTTGGTGTTTCTCCCTCATTGTCTTTATAGCATTGAAAACAGACAACAGTGAATAATTAAGGTAATTAACAACCCAAATAAAATCAAGCACACCACAAAGGATGATATCACACACTAGGGAAACAAACCCATGCACCAAACATGACACCTCGCAGTACTGAACTAAGAGTAAAGTGTACCCTTCCCAGCCTAGAATAAAAATAATAAAAATAAAACAAAGAATAACAAGTCATTTTATAATAAGTTAGGAAGATTACAGTTATGGGTTCATTCTAATTTAAGAACGAATATAATTTACTAATTAAGTTTTCTTTGAGAATCATGCATAGGTGACAAACTGACTCAATGAATGGGTTTCTTTATAATTAAGTTGAAAATAAATAAAAGTAAAATGAACTACTGCTGACGTCCCCAAACGAATGACATCCTAAACAATGACTTTACTGCAAAAGCCAATTCTTGAACAGTATCGAAAGACTTTCAGTATTTATATGGACTAGTTTCAGAAATATAGGAATGGGCAAGCATGAAAACATTAACTATACAGCTAAATTAAAATGAAACTCATTCTTACAGTATTCCCTAAAAAAGCTATTCCTAAAGCACTTCAGGAAAATGGAAGATGTGTTACATTCTAGTAGTTAGTATCTGAAATGTTCAGAACAGACATACTTACACTTTTCTATATCTATGAATCTAAACTTGCCTTTGTTTCCATGACCAGATCAACACTGATAATTTTTCTTGTCTTTATAACATTAAAAATCATTACTAAAAATTAGTAGTTGCAGCTTAAGAGGTTTTTTGTCTTAGACTACAATCACTACTGCAAGAATGCATCCATGAAAACATATCTTATGCCAATATGCAGAGTGGCACTGCTTTCACACAAGATAAAGGAGAGAAGAAAAGGCACATGAAATCCACACAACTGTTCATGAGCACAATATACTGACGAGCTAAATCCTCTCATAAACATCTGATAAAGCAAAAATTATGATATGTAAACATAATGGCTTAAAAACACCAAAATGAAGTGTCCTCATTCCATTTAGAAGGAGGACTCTTTGAAGAGAAATTAGGATTGTCAACAAATATTAGAGCAATACTGAGCTGGGATAAAGAGGAACCTACAGTTAATTGTTCTTTTTTTTTCCATTTGGCTTAGTTGCCCCATGGCATGTGGGATCTTAGTTCCCCAAGCAAGGATCAAACCCACATCCCCTACATTGCAAGGCAGATTCTTAACGACTAGATCACCAGGGGAGTCCGTTCCTCATCTTACTGTAGAGAAAATTTTATGGATAAATTATGATGGTTTCTAAAAGTTTCAAAAACTAAAATTTTGGAATTTATATTCTTCCCTATATTTACTTGTAATTTATCTCTAAAAAATCAACCTTGTTAAGAAGAGAATCTAGGACTTCAATGTATTTGCACTCAATGAAGCACGTGGCAAAATACAGTCTTTCAGTAGGTACTGCATGAACTGAATGTAAAGCTGGGGTAAAGGATAAGTATAAATCTTGGTCAGATGCATTGTCTATAATTTCAGTTTGATTTAAACAACAAGGAGAATGTTCAAACAGGTAAATTAAATATTCTGATAAGTTACCTAGATAACTCAATAATACCTCTTCATAAATAAAATTAAGTAATTTTTAAAAAGTAGGACTGAACGATCTGTTCTCTATTCCAGATTATAAATCTGGAGCCTAAAGTCTTACATGAAATAGAAAAGTCACACTTCTAAAATGCTCGATTATTTATTTCAAACACAGACAGACCTGCTTTGACCTCTTCACCCTGCTTTTCTCCCCGCTGCTCTCCCACATGTCTACTTTCTTCATTAACTTCTGTATATGCACAAGTAAAGAAAAGGATAAGACCAGACATGTACATCTGTTACTCCTCAACAAAATAAAACAAAAACTGTCAAATTATTCATGATACAATGAATGATTATAAGGAATTGAATACATTATTTTTTAACAAGTTTCTGACATGTTAGGGAAACAAGTAAGTATACTGTGAATAAGTTATCATACTGTCGCCTTTTATGATAACTTCGATTTGTAAAAGAAATTGTGGGCCATAATCTGTAATACATAACAACTGTAAGAAAAGCAAAATACTTCATCTGTAAATGATATATTCTTAGAAAAATAATATAAATTTCTTCTAGAGAAACAAAAAACCAACATTATAAACTCATTTTTATAAATTTCAATACATCAAAGTTGGGGGAAATTAAAAATAATAATGTCTTACAGGTATTTAGTACATTGTACTTTATATTGTTTCCATTTTCTCTGACTCTCAGATTTTGAAAATATTGTACCACTGTCAAGACCAACACATATAAGGCTTTTAATTACTTTAATTAAAATATAGACAACTATATTCCAAGTCAAAAGGAATTAAACTAGGACATTCTCATTTTTCAGCTATTGAACAGAATCAGAAGATAAACATGCCATTACTTTGATTCTAAAATAACCACTGAATTATAATGTTTGACAACTTTTAAAGAGATAATCCAAATACAATTTAATTTAGACCATTAATCAATAGTCAATTTTGCATTATACCTTTAACTTTGGTTAGAAAAGTAGAATATATATAGCCATTAAAGCTAAACTAAATGATACAATCATGTATTTGCTGGAGTCTTCATATTAATATTTATGAAAACACTGCTACAATCATCCACACTCTTAAGAAAACAAAAAATCAAACCCCCTCCAAATCATTTTAATTTATACTGGAAAGAATAAAAGAAGTTTTTTTGCTCTCTTTCATTTATAAAAATGGAAAAGACACAATTAGGGACATTAAAGGAAAACTATAGTTTTAATACATTCTATGGAGCAAAAGCCAGACAGTAAATAGAATGTTTGTTGACAAGCTCATTAAAAATGTCAAGTATCAGCTCTAATGTTAGTTTTCTGGTATATTTATTATTACAAAGGATGGAGCACTCATATCTCAACAGAATATCGCTACTGAAGATATCAAAATTGAATTTAGAAAAAATTATGGCATAAACTGTGTTTCCGACTTCATACGACAACAGATGATGCCAAAACTCTATCTTTAAAATTTGTGGGGAGAGGAGACAAAAAATTCCATATGTATTATAGAACTTCCCTTATGGAAAGTACTTTTAAAACTACATGCTCCTATATTTATGTAAATAATAGAGAACTATAGTAATGCTGCTAAAATCTTTTTATCAGGCTGTATAACCATCACAATAGTGCTGAGTTGTTTAAAATTATAGTTCATAGTACACAGCAAATAAAAAGGACCACAAAATAGGAGTTGATACATTGTTCAACTGCAACTAACAAGAATACAGCTTGTTTTGAGTTATGTAAGGCAATAAAAGTACTGCTGCCCAAATGCAATACACTTAAAAATATGTTACCAATAGGTTATAGAAATATGAGTTTTACTATAAACATATATAGAATGACAAGTTTATTTTAATGGTACTTTCTATACTACTTGAAGTAGCTTTTCAATTTGTAAATAAATATTACATGCATTCATTCAACGAATATTTATTAAGAGCCTACAATGTGCCAGGCATTATTCTATGTGCTGGAGATCCACCAGTAAATAAAACAGCTGACAGTTCTTCAAAGTTACAACATCATCTGCAGAATTCTATAATCAGCAGAGGAATTTTTATTTTCTTGGTAAATGTATGACATTCCATATAGCAAGACTCAATATTTTTCCTCTTGATCCATAATGTAGCATTGATAACAAAACTGTACATATTTAACTTTATTATACTATAAACAGTCTGGCTATAACATAAAAATTGATGCAGGAAATATGAAGCACAATCACTATCTAATTAAAAAAAATTCCTTTTCTAGAAAGCCAAATTGAATAATTAAAAAATCATCATAAACACAAAATAAAATATATGATGATAATTATAACTAGACTAGGTGTATATCCTCAATGACATAAACACAGACTGCAATTGACATCTTTGGTTAAAGTCTTCCACAAAATATAAAATTTTATGTCAAAGCAAATTTTTTAAAAAAAGAAATTTTACCTTGTGATTGAAAAGGAGCTAAATTCTTTGTATTCTTACTTGACTGAATCAAAGAAATTTAACTCCTTTGTATATTTTCAAAGTAAAACAAAAATTGAACACTTTATCAGAATCATAAAACAAAATAATTTTACTGTAATAAAAGTCTATACAGTGAAGGAACATCAATTGCAGTTGGGTTTATTTTTGCTCACATAGCCCCCCAAAAAAGGCTATTAGCACAAAACAAACCCTCCTTTATGTACAGACCTTCATAAGGTTCTATCTCCTTGACTCCATTGTCTAGGAAAAACAAAATAAAAACAAAACAAAAAAAGGGAACCAAAGCAGAGGGGTTAAAACAACAGAAATTTCCAAAGGCACAGAGTGCATCATCTACCAAAGGAAAGTTACACGGTGACTTAAATATGTTTGTTGGTCTACTGGTTCTGGCAGTGCACATCCCATTACCAAATAAAGGGACCATTGTAAAAAATGACATTAAAAATCATTATATTCTATCAGCCATGCTTTCAGAGGTCCTTTATTCAAGACTTTATAGAACTTTGGGGAGTATGTTCATCTGTGTATAAGCAAATAGGATTTTCTTAATGAACAATTTGAAAGTATTAAAAATATCAGTACAACATGCATCTTTCTTTGTATATTCATGATTACCTTTTTCTGGCACTCCAGTTTTGAGAAGGATCACCATTGTTGTGCATCAGCTAAACAGTCCTTTGCAGTGTGTGAAAATTGATTTGGCTAGTTACTAATAAACTTTATGTAACTATCAACAATTACATAAACTTAGTTGTAGCAAAGAAATATCATCCAACTGCTTATTTAAGATCATTAAATTTACTTCTTAAAATGCACTTATTAAAATTTGAAAAATGTGCAAGAGCAATATGATAGGTTATTTTGCCTCCAAATATTATAGATTTTAAATGTAAAATATAGAATATTTATAAAGGTATTTGCAAATACAACTACTAAAAATGCAGCTAAGGTACTCAAATAACAAAAGAAGAAAGCTCATACAAAAGTAGTAAAAAAAAATCTTGATTCACCTTAGCTTCCATGTGTATATCCTATATGACACAATTAGAAATAAAACTTACTTCTCTCCAATGTTCCCTTTGGTGGAAGCTGTGGGAGTTGTCGGCCCCTTCGTCCTGCCACTGGAGTACTTGATGGGCTTGTCTGGACAGACCCAGTACGAGGGTGAGACCTACAAGATACATCATTAATATTCATTTTCAATAGAATGTGTTAAATATTTTTAATATATTTGGCTCATAGGATAGTTGTATGGTGCAATTTTAAAGGAGGTTTAGCTGCTGATTAAAAGGTTAGGAAAAGTAGGACAAAATATGGATATTTGAATGATTATCTAAATAGCAGAAGATGTTTATACTGTCATGTAATATGCATACATACACAGATACATGCACACAAAGTCTTACAGTAAAATCCATGGAATTATTAATGTAAACTGAAATTCTATCCATATGAAAGCAAGGAGAGAAGTCTGCAGCTCAAAAAATAAAAGATAATGCTTCACATTTCTTTCTACCAGATTTCAAACTCTTTAACACTAACCTCCCTCCCTTGATCCTAAGAGATTTTTACTCAGGCTTATATTAGATACCCCTTTATTATAAATTATCTCATGAAACTATAAATAAAACCCTGAATAATTCAAAATTCAGCTAAAGAAGATATTGGTTAATACATATTAGTAGTGATAGAAAGAAACTAAAAATCTAGTTTTAACTATTGTTATTAGGATGGTTATCCAAAAGTGATGTCTAATGGACACAAACAATTTCTCATTCTGTAGGAGAAGAACATGATAGCCATGAAGTGTGTTATGTGGGGAATACCCAGGACTCCTGATAAATGAGAAATCACAAAACAAATGTGGTCAGGACAGTTAATAAACAAATTACAATGGTAGCCACACACTATTATATCCACGGAATATGAATAGTGTGCTTACACTGAAAAGGTTAGTGTCGATTGTTATTAGTGATCAGCCAAGGATGACAGAAGAGACCATTTAGCTGCTGGGAAAATAAAATGGTGCGCTGGTGGGGCAAAGGGGAAGTTAGTCTGATTGATTTATCTTTCACCTCGATAAGGCAGGTGAAGGAGGGGCAGATCTTCCAGTCATTAATGAAGGCATCGACCTCATGAGGTTTGTATCAGGACGTTCAGTGGATCTGGAGCGGGTGGTGGTCCGCTCTAGCAGAGGCCGCTGTTCTGTTGATCTGGATCTGTGATATGGCTGTCTATCTGCTGCTTCACAATCCCTGAAACGTTAGTCAAAAAGCAGCTCAGTTGATCTTCAGTGCCTTTCTGCTATTTTGTTATGATGCATCAAACTGATTTTGAAAAAGGTAATTGTTTAAGATTATTGAGTATGGAAAAAAATGTTCTCTTCCCCAACATATGCTGCATTAATTCTCACTAAACTCCATAAGAATGTCTAAGGAACCAACATCTGCCTTTAATAGCAATTCCCAGTGAAGATAATAGGAGTTGCTCCGTTATAATCAAAACAAAATTATCTGTTTTCCAAAATGAATTCCTTAAATGGAACACGTGAAATATGTGAAGTATTCTATTCGGAAAGAACTAAATGACTTCCCAACATTTGTAAAAGAGTAAAGAAAACCATAAAGGCACTAATTCTCAAGCTGCTAAGGCTGGTTATACTAATAAACAGTATACCAACTAAAATTAAAAAAGGCTTTCAGCACAATTGGAGTATACTGATACACCTGAACGTTCAAGTGACTGAATCCAAAAAAATATGGTCCACAAGAAAAATCATTCTTCAGGAAACTGGTAAATCAACCATTTTATATCATTTAATTCATCACACTTTAACAATGCCAACCAATGCAATTCAGAATGAGCATTAATTGACTGAAACAGTAAGTATGAAACAATGTAATTTCTTTGATTAGAAATAAATCCAACATCAAAATTTAATCCTTCTTTAAATAAGTATACTTAAGCAAGCTATCAGCACTAATTTTTGTATCCCTGGAGTCTAGCATAATGCTTTTACATCTAACATGCAATTTGTAAATGTTTTCTAAGATCACCCCACTATCTGCGGAACAGCCCCCAAAACACTAGTTTTGATTCTAGAATTCCAAAGTATACTTCAAAGAAACTATTACCTCCCCATATAGTTGTAACAACAGTATTGGAAATGCTTATATATTATAAATACCAAAGAAAGCTTTAGTATCCCTCAAGACTAATGTACTAAGGCCTTCCACTTTACCTACAAATTCTCTTGATCTTATTTTTGATAATGAAAACTGCAAGAGCTTAAAGAAAAATAAAAGAAAGGACACAATTTTTCAAATGTAATTCATTACATGGCCTACAATTTTGGACCAGTAGATATTAGATTAGGCTTCCCTGACAGCTCAATTGGTAAAGAAGCTGCCTGCAATGCAGGAGACCCATTTGATTCCTGGGTTGGGAAGATCTGCTGGAGAAGGAATAGGCTACCCACTCCAGTATTCTTGGGCTTCCCTTGTGGCTTAGCTGGTAAAGAATCCACCTGCAATGCAGGAGACCTGGGTTCAATCCCTGGGTTGGGAAGATCTCCTGGAGAAGGGAAAGGTTACCCACTCCAGTATTCTGCCCTGGAGAACCCCAAGGACTGTATAGTCCATAGGGTCGCAAAGAGTCAGACATGACTGAGCAACTTTCATTTAGATATTCAGACTTAGATGACTTTAGGAACTGAATACTAGATTTACTCTACAACATATTTTGTGATTAAGATAATCACAAGTGTAAGATACACTTTATATTCATATGGTAACATGAAGGCAAAAGATTTTTTAAACTATTTTTATGTTCATGTACTATAATATGATCAATTTCTTAAAATAAGTTGAGTATTTTTATAAGTGTATCCAAATATGTCAAAAAAGCTGAGTAAATAAATACACAATATCCAACTACTTATCAAAGAGAGAAATGAAAAGGCAACTTGACAGGGTAAGAAATCAGAACTCTATTTTTTCTTCCTGAAAAACTATTTTAGAGAAAACACTTCTCTTTAGAAATAAAAATGCTCAATGTCTGTTAAATGTTGTTAGTGTACATATCTTTGTATATCTTCAACACAATATATTTATATACTGCATGCATGCTAATCTGCTTTAGCCATGTCCGACTCTTTGCGACCTTTGGACTTTAGTCCTCCAGGCTTCTCTGTCCATGGGATACTCCAGGCAAGAATACTGGAGTGGGTTGCCATCCCCTCCTCCAGGGGATCGTCCTGACCCAGGGATCGAACTCGTGGTACTTATGTCTTCTGCACTGGCAGGAGGGTTCTTTATCACTAGTGCCACCTTGGAAGCCTAAATATATATAAATATATACCTTAGATTCCTTAAACCTAGTTTTGAAGATACCAATCTTTACATTATTATCATATTTATTATCTTAAAATAACAATAATTTATTTCATTAAATAACAGGTATTAATAGTAACACAACTTTCTAGAATATCTATGACTATTCCAACAGAAAATTAAGCTAACATTTCACTTGTTTATACAAAATCTGATTTATTCTGATTCCATCAAGTAATTTTTCCAAGTGGAAAGTGAAATATTAGAATAAACAATTTCACTTCTTTGACACTATATTTTAGTAATTGAAATATATTATTGTGAGTGAAATCTAGAGATATATTTCAAATGTGTTGCTACATTCCATGTCCTTAAAAGAATACTATTATCTTTAAAGTATTAATAAACAAGTCACTCTTTAGGAAATATGCCTTTAAAAAAAATTTCATTGGTAAAAAAGTTGTTTGAAGCTATAGTCAATGTTTTAAATTTTACTTATATTTTTCTCACCATATTCATTAAAATTATAAATTATGATTATGATTTCCATAAAAATAAAAACGTTTAATAAGTGAAACATGAAAAGAACCATGGTAGAAGTTAGAAATGTATTGAAATGCTCCACCACAATTAAGGCAAGGGGTAAGTTATCATATTTTAAACTTTGATAACACAGTAGAAGGTCAAGATAGGCTTCTATTTCCACAACTGGCTAAGAATAGGTCTTACTACATGAGAACTAAGAAAACTGAGAAAACTAAAGGCAGCAATGCTTAAGTCTCATACATAATACTCAGTTTCATAGTAGGTTTTCTAAAGGATTGAGATATAAAACTTGACAACTTTCACCTAAATTCTTAGTGAGTGTTCATTTTATGGTGAAAGTGAACGTGAAGTCGCTCAGTTGTGTCCGACTCTTTGCGACCCCACGGACTGTAGCCCACCAGGCTCCTCTGTCCACAGGATTCTCCAGGCAACAAGTACCGGAGTGGGTTGCCATTTCCTTCTCCAGCGGATCTTCCTGACCCAGGGATCAAACCTGGGTCTTCTGCACTGTAGGCAGATGCTTTACCATCATGTTGAATAGTAATGACCATTTGCAAGGCATAAAGTATTTTAGTGCCTATCTGGGTTTCTGAATTTGGGGTCTGTATTTCAATATAAATAGTTTCCTTTGTAACGCTACCTATTCATTTTACTTTCTGCATTTCAAAATATTATTTGAAAAAGGGTAGACATAGATTTTACAAGATTGCCCAAAAGCAAGCCATATAAAACACCAGAAAACTCTCACCTGTAAATTTAAATTTTTCTTAGGTTAATAATTTGATTATCTTATAAAAGTGATTTAATATCTGTCATAATTCTATTTTTAGTTTACATTTTCTGGTATATATGCTTAAAGTAGTTTAGAGTTTCTATGTGCCATTTACCTGGATAGATACAGATATAGTTCTGCTTATTCAGTGACTGCTATTCTAAACTGCAAGCATTTCCACAGGATCCTCCACAATTAGAGCTAATTCATGTTGACTGACGGTATTGTAACAAGACCCAGTATCATATCAACCCAGCTTTAAAATCATCTAATAGTATGTGCAGATTTTGATTTCTAAGGGGAAAATAATTTTATAATTATCTAGCAAAGTTGTCCATTTTCAATCATTTTTCCACTCATATAGTTGCTCTTGAAAAATTTTTTAAATTTCCAAGTATTTGAGACAGCTATCTACTTATTTCACCATCTTTGTCACTTTTTTCTCCCAGTCTCAAAGTACATGGAGTTATGCAGCGTCACAGAGAAGCATAGGCCAGTGAGCATTTTCTTTCATTTATATTCAAATATTGCAATGATGCAACTCCAGATCAACATAAACTTGATGTAGACTATCTCTTTAAGTACGATAAAAAAAAATGCCAAGATTACTAAAACAATGAAAAACAAACCTCACAATGCTTCAAAGTATTGTTCAGATATCAATGAAAATTGTCCTAAGACACAACTCAGGCCTTAGAATCTATGTTAAATCAAACAGGTTTATTTTATATTTGTATTGTAAAGATGTGGTAAGTAAATCTAATAGGGTTTCTTTCTCAAAGACTTGCACAAAGTAAAGCTATTTAGGAATTATTTTTCTTCTTTATCAGGAAATAATTTCTTTATAAAGTCGAGATTCTAAATTAAAAAAAAAACTTGGAGATATCTCTGAAGGACAAAAAGTATAATCTCAGATTTGGAGCAAGAAATGACTTCCATAAATCTGTATTATGTAATATAGTAAGCTGATTAACAGCAGCAGCATTATACTTTTCATAAAATACCTTCAATGTGTAGAGATTTTCTAAGCATTAAATACATAATTGAAGGAAGAAACAAGCACATTATAGAATTTTAAAATGAGATATAGGGTAATTAATATGTTATATGCTGTATAATATATCAAGTAATTTAAAGCAATTATATAATTAAACTCTATAATTTTCTTGCTCATCATATTGTGCGAGGTTTAAGTTTAACCTTTTAAAACCCCAGTTTATATATTTTAGCACTGCTCTAGGAGTTAAGAGAATTGGAAGACACAAAATACCAAGGTAATAAATGAATATTTCTGAATATTTGTACCATGTGTACAAATAGGAATATTTTATTATTTTGGTGGAAGATAGATTAATTTTCCTTGGACAAGATAGATTTTTTATACCAGAACATTTCTGTTCAAGTAAACATTAAATTTGTATGTTAGTTAAAAGTAGATGAGGTTATCAAAAATAACAGTAATATCTAGAGTCAGCCAACTTAATAACAATCTAACAAGTAAAAATGATAATAATACACATATTAATGGGGAAAAAACAAAACACTTTTAATGTAGAAAAACATGTTACTATTACTCATAAACTTATTTTTAACATCAAAATAAAAT